CAACTTTCATATATAACCCCTAATAGATTATTTATATAAACATGAATCTTTCAGTATTTGTATACATATAAAAATATACAAAAACAAAAAATAGTTAATATGTCTTAAATAAAATTGGTATGCTATATATGACAGTGTTTCATAAATATTTTCTTATATCACTAGATATACTCAAAACATGATTTGTAGTAGCTGTATAAATTTCATGTTAGGATAATAATAAATTTAACCATTCCCCTATTCCTAAAAACTTTATTTCTAGTCTTTTGTTATTGCAACAATAATGAAAAACAGCCTTAATATATAAGTCATATCAGAATAAATTCCAAAATAGAAATCACTAAGTCAAAGTTATGAGCATAAAATTACAACACTTTTTTCAAACTTTAAAAACATGATTAACTCAGACTAAATTAGGCTCTATACATCTTGGTAAATACTGACTACTATTACATTGAGTCTTTCACCTAATCTCCATGCCAGCTCACAGGGAAAAAAGCTTTGACCAACAAGGAAATCATTTAATTCCTGTCCCAAATGAAAAATAAAATCGATGAAATAGTGCTTGAGCTTATTTATTTTTATACACTTTCAGAAAATTCATCTACCTGGCTCAATATAATGAGTCTACAATAGAGTATAAAAGTTCCTTGAGTACAAAAGTGAATATAGAAACTATAATGTTTGCAGACAACACCATTTTTCAAAGTAACAAACTGAAAATACAATTTCATAGGCCTTACAAAGAATGTTTTAACACAATGATATCTGAAGCTAAGGAAGAGACCATAATGAAGTCTAACTTTGTTTTAAAAATTGGGGAAAATTCAGAGTACTTACTTTGTAGATAGTGCAAAACCATCAACACAAGACTATAGCTGCTTAAAGTACCACGACTGGCATCATTTATCTCATGGTGACTCGCCCACTTCTTAATCACCAGTACTAATGGACGAACTCGATTTTCAACTGAAAGTAAAAATAAAACTTGAAAAAGTTTCTTTGAAAGTTTACAGTATTTCCCAACTCCATGCTAAGAGTATTGCCTCCCCTATATACTAAATATCAGTTCTATAAAAAAAATGTATCTTCTTTCTAAAACACCTTATTTTTTTTTAAAAAAAATTACCAATTACTAAAATTCATTACACTGATCTGTAATTATGATGGTATATGATTTAGTGTAATAATAATATATTGAAGTCAAATAAATTAATACAAATTATAATATTAAAGTGATTAACAGCATTTACTATAAACATTTAAAAAAGGAATAAAGAATAAAAACTGAAGCTGATAATTATTTGGAAATAAAACTTACGATATGCATAAGTTCTGAGTAGGAATGTGTTTCTTATTCCAACAATATTGTTGACATTCAAATCGAACTCCACACAACTATTAAGAAAAAAAAAACTTTCACTCAATACAACTTAAACTAACTCCCTAGGAGAAGGCAAATTAATATCCATCAACAGCTACTTAGCGATGCAAAATAACATGGGGCCAAACATGTTAACAAACATGTTAACAAAACATTATAGAATGAAAACTCAATATGCATTTTGATATGATTAGTGTACATTAAAAATACAAAACAGGGGCCCTCCCTGGTGGCACAGAGGGTTAAAGCACAGCACTAAGAAGCAAAAGCCACTTCAGCATGAGTTCAATCCCCACCTGTCCCGGAGGTGACTCACATGGCATGACAGACCTCTCCTGACCCGCCCGCTGCTCCCCTCTGCAGTGTACTCCCCCTCATCGATTGGCCTGTTCTGCT